ACCCATCGAGACGGAATTCCCAGAAGCCACCTCTGCACCCGGCAAGTGACAGCCTCTTGCCCAGCCTAGCCTGGCCTTACAGACACACCTGGCAAAATCAAAAGCTTGTCTCGGGCATTGAACCTGACAGCTGCAATCAGCTGCAAACCCCAGTTGCCCCTGAAGGAAAGACACAGGCACCTGGACCATATGGCAGCATCGCCTCCATCAAATGTCACATCCGATGTGCTCCCGAGCTAGCTGGTGGCACTGCGAAGCCCCAAAGGCAAGTTTCAAAAGCAAATGCCTTCCTCGGGAAAAAGAAACTGTGGCAGAATCCATATCACAGTAGCCCGAGAGAAAAATAGCGACTCCCGGAGCAGTTAAGATCACCAAAGGTTCATGGAGTGGCTTAGGGAAAAGCGGCCGCTTGGGCGGGAGGTGGTGGGAGAAACCTGGAGCCAACAATCGAGCACCTGCTGTATGTAACGCACTGTTCTAGACTCTCAGAATGCAGACGCGAGCAAAACAAGACGGGGCACTGTTCCCTGGACCCTGGTTGGGAGAGACAACCAAACAGAAATCAAGCCCGTAAACATAAAAGGTAAGTTCAGAGAGGGACAGGCGCTATGAAGAACAGAAGACAGGGTGCTACAAGGGCCACCAAGGAAGCTGGTGCGGTCAGGGGAAGCTTCTCCAAGGAAGTGGTCTTCTGGCCGAGCAGTCAAGGTGAGACAAAGTGAGACATGCGATGATTCAGAGGGAGAGCATGCCAGGCAGAGAGAGTGGCAAGTGCAAAGGCCCTGTGAGGGGGATGTTCTGCATGTTCTAGAAAGAGAGAGGCCAGGGGGGCTGGGGCAGAACGAGGGAGGGGGGAGTGAGAAAAGGTGAGGGTGGGAGTTTGGGGGCCGGAGCAGGGATAGCACTGTACCCGGAGGAAGGGGGAAGATGGCCCCCTGGGCTGGGCTGTATCCCCCAGGGGACCAGAGATCCCAGCAAGTCAGGGTGCCTTTCAGCTCCTCACTTTTTCCACGCCCACAGGGAGAGCCATCACCCCTCCTTCCCAGGGCTGCGAAGTGCTGAGCAGAGACCTGCAAACAGTAAGCCTTTAATAATGTGGGCTCGCTGACGTCCTTCCTCCCCCGTTCCTCCTGCCCGCGTCAGCCCACCACAAAGCCGGAGCAGCTGTTCGGTGCAGAAATATTGCAAAACTCGACCAGGCATTTCCAAAATATTTTCTTGGCCCAAACCCCACTCGCAGCTAAGAGGCTGCATATTCTGGAGATGGCGTTGTCTCCCCAGACGGCCCGATCAGGCTGCCTTTGTCGCCCGTGAGGTCTGCGAGGACCAAGTCCTCGTGTGGCTGGGCCCTGGGTCCCCACACCCCGCCCGGCGTCTGTGGATGGCTGTGCCCAGCCCAGGAGCCACCCACCGACGTGGGGCGGCTCACCTGGAGCCAGACAGGCTGGGTGCAGATCCCAGCTCTGCCACTTGCTGGGCCTCAATTTCCCTGCCTGTAAAACGGGACGGTGTTTAGGATCGAATTAGTGGATAAACGTCAAGTTCTCGGAACATACACCGGGGTGACATAGTGTCAGCAGACCTGGTGGCACCGAGCTCCTCTTGTCGGCTATTTTTGTAACCTAGCCCAGGAAGCGGTGGAGCTGTAGGACTCTACCAAGTTGGATCGCTGCTGGCCAAGTGCCCCCTCCCTGTCCCCCAGCCCGCCCCCAGCCTGAGCCAGAGGAGGCGCCGCCCCTCTGCTGACACCGCGCCCGCGCTGAGCCCGCTTCAGTTCTGGCCACACCACACGGCCATGCTTGGGAGCTCCCCAGTCCAGGAACACACCTTATTCACCCCCCACGTTCCAGAACCCGGCATGGGCCCAGCCCAGAGAAGCATCTTTCCTAGAGATGTGTTGAACACGTGGAGGAACAGATGACTTTCATGGGACCACAGCAGCAGCCACCCGAGGGTAATTAAAGTGCCTGAAGCCAAGTCCCCCTCTGACAGCAGATGGGATCTTTCCCTTCCTGGCTTTACTTGGAGCCCCCAGTGCCTCCTGTGGCCCCTGGGATGGACGGCCATCCTCCCCTGCTACCCCGGCTGGGCTACCTGATAAAAGGCACTCCCTGGGAGAAGTGCTATGGGATCCGAGGAGTGGGGATCCGCCGAACCTCCGGGGGGCCGCAGACAACCCTCCCAAGCCCCTTCCCCACCACCTTCCATGGCTCCTCTGTGACCCCCAAGGCATTAGGATCCGGCTGCTTCGCCGTCCCTCCCCACCCCAGGTGTGCTCCCTAGAGGATCTCATCAGCTTCAACTACCTCCCTTCCCACCCTGCAAGACCCCTCAACCCCACGCAAACCACACACCACGGCCGCCCCAACCTGTCCTCTCCATACCCGTCGGTCGGGGACGCCAGACCCTCGATGGCTGGGGCAAACTTCTGCACCTGACTGACCCGCCCCTCACCTCCAATCAGACAAGCCGATGCTATGGGTGCCCCCGCCGGGGAACAGGCTGCTGACCTCCAAGTGCGCCAGGGCTCGCCCACCCGCCCCAGCGGAACGCGGGCACCGTGCCCCACCCCCAGCAGCCCTCAACGCCCGAGGGGATCCGCTGTTGAATCTGCAGTCATAACTCGGACACGTGCGTCCTGCACTGGCTGCCCGTGTCCCCCGGCGGGGCTCAGGGTGGTCCCCTCCACACTGTGTCCTTCCCTGACGCCCGCCTCTCCCTGCTTAGGCTGCCTTCCCCGCTCCTTCTTGTGTTTTCTGGGCTCACCCAGACAGGGGCTCGCTGCTGAATCCTGATCTCTGGCTCTGCTTCGGGGAGAACCCAAAGGAAGCCATTCGGACAGTTCTGCCAGCAGAAAGTTCCGGAACCCACCCACTTGTATCTTTATTGCCGAAGGTCGGTCGCCAGCATCACTGCTTTCCCTGCTGTGGCCACACCGGCCTCTAGTCCTGGCTCCTCCTCCGTCGGGGACTCTGCATTTGCGAGCTTCTGCCAGAAGGGTCTTCCCCCGGCCGGCCCCTTCTCATTCATCAGGCCCCCCCGCTCCTTCTGAAGCCTGGTCTGTACCTGAGACTGTCGTGTTGGTTCCTGAGTCATTTCTTACTTTCTCTCTCCCCCTAGACGCTGAGCCCCGCAAGGTGGGGGCCTCCGTCTGCTGTCGCTCATGGCTGTGTCTTTGAGGGAACAAATGATGGATTCTCTGCAGGCTGCGGACCTGGTGATTGCATGTGATGCTTGTCTTGGGGAGGAAACGCTGCTTGGGAGAGGACATGGGCGCCAGGGCAGGGGTGAGGGCCGTGGGGGCTGGGCTGGGGGTGGGGGGAGGGCTTCTGCAGTTCCCCCCACCCTGGGTGTCCTCATTCTTAATTCCGGGGCTTGCTCTTAGAGCCAGACTGGGTCTCCTCCACTCTTTCTTCGTCCTCGGGCTTCAGGGATTGGCCTTTCCTGCCCCCAAGACAGGCCCCGTGGCTTCTTTCCACCCAGAGTTTCCTACCCATTCTACAGGAAGCATGGGGAGGCCCAGGATCAAGCAGGAGCCGATGGCACTTGCACACGGCCAGGGTTCTCAGCCTTCGTCCGTACTACGGGACTTCTGAGCCCCTCGGAGGGATTTCTGCACCCCCCTGTTATCCCTGAGGTGGGCCCTCCCCAGCGCCCTCCATGCCCTGGTTCCTGACCCCTTCCTCCAGGAAGCCCTCCACTCCAGCACAGACACCTGGCCTGCAATCTCAGTGTGTGAGCCCAGGGTCCACTGCAGCACACCCCCCCCCCCACCGCCCCGTTCCTCAGGCGGATCACTGGCATTTTGGCCACCTCACCGGGCCAGCGCGTCCTTCGGGAGCCCCCAGAGTGAGGACCAGACCTCTCCTCTTCTCCTCCCAGGCCCCTCCCTCCAAGCTGAGCCATTTCTCCTTCAGTTCCCGGGATCTGAGGTCAGACAGACCTGGGTGTAAGCCTCCACTGTCTTAGTGTGAGCCTCCCCCAGCAGACCTTGCGGTAGGGATGGGAGCGTGCGTGATGTTAAGGAGGTGCAGGGTGCACAGAAGGAAGGCGGCCAGCCCCGGAGGGCTGCGAAACCCACTACCCGGATCTGTTCACCCTGCAGGGGACCAGGCCAAACACAGGCCTGGAGCGAGCCCACGCAGGGAGCTCCCCAGGCACTTCCCTCCTTCTGTGATCGCAGGTAGGGGAAGCCCCCTGGCACAGAGATGCAGATACCGGCAGCCGGAGGGCACTGAAACTTCGCTTCCCACAGCCCTGAGACAGCAGGCACGGACAGCGTCTGCTTGAACTGCTCTGCCACAGGTGGCCAAGCTGTGTGACCTTGAGCAAGCTACCCCACCTCTCTGAGCCTTAATTTCCTCAACTGCAACATGCTCGGGGTCAGCAAGCATATGAGGTCAGGCATGAAAGGCCCTTGGCAGGGGGGTGAGGTGGGCATCCGGCGGGCTTAACTGAGATGCTGCCATCTTCACTTTAATCTCACGTTGGCTCCCTCTTCTTCCGTCTGGAACAAGGCCCTCTCTCCTTTCGCCTCCCTTCGCTTTCTGGTTCAGACATTTGTTTTCCTAATGGGTGCCCTAGATTCTGCCGAGGGCATCCCCCACAGCCAGGTAGACGAAGACAGTGCACTCTGGCTGCCACACGCCTCCACGGCCCAAATCTTGCCCACTGTCACCTCCTGTCGAGCCCGGAGCTGTCCTCCCTTCCGGACAACCCAACTTGCACTTGAGCTGTGGTTCGCCTGCCTGCCCTTAGGCACCCAGCGTCCCTCTCGCTTTCCCAGCAGCCCACCCCCATGGCGAGAGGGCCACGGCCGCCGCGTGCAGAAGACTTGCTACAGCCCAAGGTGCCGGGCCTCGGTTTCCCCATCTGCGGTGTGTGTCTGCGGGAGCGAGCAGGGGTGCGGGGAGAGGCGGGCCTGGCTCATCTCCGGGGTCCCCTCTCCGCGGATGGCCCACGAATCTGTAGCGCGGGCTACCGCAGACGAGGCCACTTACGGGCAGGGTGTCTCTCGTGGCGACAATCTAAGTGAAGGTCCTCCTCCTCGAGCCCATCCCCCTTCTCGAACCTGGAAAGAAAAGGACCCAAAAGCCTGCGTAAGAGCGAGCGAGCTGAGTTGGCAGAGACCCAGGACCTGAACAAAGGTACAGTCCTTTCCCCTCGAGAACAACTGTGCAAAGTAACTCTGTGCCCCCCCCCCCCCCCCCCGCCCCGTGGGAGCCTTCCCGCAACCCCCTTAGATGGGCGTCATTATCTCCACTTTGTCGATGGGGAAACGGAGGCACTGGATGCTAATGAGACCAGTCAAGCGCCACCAGCTAATAAGTCAGAGGCGGAGCAGGGACGCCAACCCACGTGTTCTCACAAAAAGACGTTCCGTTATGTGCAAACGGGACACGACAAAAGACTGCGCACAGTTTGATTTAAAAATTATACACCGGGACGCACAAAAGATTATTTGGCAGAATCTATACCAAAAGGCTAACAGGAACTAACCTATTTTTGCTTCCCTCTATTTTCTGATTTGGGGCCAATGGACTCCTATCAGCTGGGTCTCTTTTCTTCACCAAATCAAAGCACTTCCTCGAGGCATGTCTACGCATAAACAAAGCCCCGGCCCTCTGATTTCTGGCACAGAAGGTTTGGAAGGTGGCTCCTTCCCCCCGACGTGTGTGGCTGCCTTCTCCCCTGGCATCTCAGGATCACTGCAGCTCCAGAGGGGGCTGGCATTGGTGTGGCAGAGATGCGAAGCACGGAGCAGAGGCTGACGAGGGTCTGGTGGGGGCAGCTGCACAGGGAAACCCTCACCCCTGGCCCAGCACTGCTTGGGCCCGAGACTGGGCAGGGCCGTGTTCCCACATTGCGCTCGCCTCTTTGTAACCCACATAAACTGCAGAGCTCCGCCTGGTCCAGTCCAGAGGAGCATCACCCTTCCAGGAGCACCGTCTGGTCCCCAGAGGTAGACACAATTCCAATCATTATGGTGTCTGCGGGAGAACACCGCCCGTGGCCGTACGTTTTGATATCTTTCCTCAATTCCTTTTTGCCTTTTACTTGCTCTGCACTCCTCCACTCGCCTCCTCTTTGCACTGACACCCTTGTTTCTCTCATGCAGGGACGTCTCCGTCCTCTCCCAGGCAAATGCCCCACCCCTGTTTTCGGATTCCTCCTAGCGCGTCTTATGTCTAGTTGCCCAGTGTGTCCAGACGCGTGGGGCTACAGAAGGAGACATGGGAAGGTGATGAATGACCCGCAAGCCATGCCAGATGCCTAGTAGAAGGGACAGGAACACTCATGCACTGATCATTGTGGTTCCCTCGGACTGCTCATTCATTCATTCATTCATTCACTCAACAAGAACTTCCAAAGGACCTGCTCTGTGTAATCTACACCAGATTCTGGGTGCACCACAGAAGTGCCTGCATCACTTCACAGTCTCTGCCCTCAGAGAGCTTCTGATCGGGTAGGAAGGCAGCTCGCACACGAGTCAGAAAATGACAAGTGTTGCGGCGCCTGCTGACGCAGTTAAGTGTGTGTTAAGCATCTGACATTGGCTCAGGTCGTGATCTCGCGCCCTGACTTCTGAGCCCCGCGTCGGGCTCTGTGCTGACGGCTCGGAGCCTGGAGCCTACTTCGGATTCTGTGTCTCCCTCTCTCTCTGCCCCTCCCCCGCTCCCTCTCTGTCTCTCTCTCTCAAAAATAAATAAACATTAAAAAAAGAAAGAAAAGAAAATGCAAGTGTCGTATAACGGCACCCAAGATTGCCCACTGTACTGAGGGGCTAAGCCTAGGCTTGCCAGGGAGCAAACTGTGAACACAGTTTTGGTCATTGTTGTTGTTGTTGTGTTTTGTTTTTTTAACAAATATTTTGTAGGGCCTGGATGGTTCCAGACAGCAGAACAAAGCCCTAAGTGTTAACGCTACAGGAAGGCAGATATCATCGGCAGATAGCCTCGTCAATGCTATGAGAAGGTTCCATACAAGGAAAAATTTCCTTCTTTTCTTTTCTTTTCTTTTTTCTTTTTTCTTTTCTTTTCTTTTCTTTTCTTTTCTTTTCTTTTCTTTTCTTTCTTTTCTTCCTTTTTTTCATCCCTAGTAGAAGCATCTTTGTTATTTTCCTGATAGCACAGGCTTATTCCAACAACTATAACTCCCACACAATAGAGCAAAAGTCCCCCTATAATGACACCTCCGTGTAATGGGATCGCCACTGTTAGGAGTTTAGTGTATATCTTTTCAGAACTCAACTTTTTTTTTTTTTTAACATATATAGTCTCAAATTAAACATGCTTTTGTAACCTGTTTTCTTACCCACAAAAATCTCCAACATCTTTCCACGTCAGTACATGTAAACCTCACTCGTCTGTTTCCTCATATTGTATGTGAAAGAACAGTTAACATTCAGTCCCCTACTGACAGATATTTAGGGGTTTGTCCAGTTTCTCACGCTTCTAACCTGCAAGATGCTAAGCCCCCATCCCCAGAGGTAATCAAGGAGAGACTATCACCATTTGTGAAACTCAAACGCTGGATGGAGGCTGGACCGTGTAGCTGAGCCCATCCCTGTCCCAGAGGGCCATCTTTCTGGCCATGTCCAGTGACTCTGGGTCAACAGATGCCTGCCCCGTCATGTAATGGGCCTTGAACATCCTCCTGCGTTTCACAGCCTTAACCTTGAACCGATTGTTCATCTACCCCAGGCGCCTAGTTCTCACGGCTTCTTATCTTCTGAGATCATTCTTCACCAGGCCTCATGCTGTGCACCTCTCCTTGGGCTCTGCCGGGACCCTCAGCCCTGGGGAGAGGGGTCAGTGCGCCAAGGAGCTGGTGTCTAAGGAGAGAACCGGCCCCACCCGGTATGGTCCCTCCTCTTCCTGGTCACCCAAACCTCCAGGCCAAGAAGCTCAAAGTGCAATAGTTAACATTTCAAAGAACACCTGCCAATTAGTGAGCATTTGCTGGGGCCAGGCCTTGTGCTGGGCTTGGGGGCCACAGGTACCACTCAGAGGGGCCTCTGCCCTTAAGCTCACGTTAATCCTGACTTAAAATGCTAAGTTCTAGGCTAGATAATGTTCATTCAGAAGGTTGGCAGGGCGGACAACTGCCTAGACCAGGTGTTGGCAAACTTCTTCTGTAAAGCTCTGGGTAGTAAATAGTTAATACGTGAGGCCTTTCTGGCCATACGGTCTCTGTCCCGACTACTCAACTGCCCCTGTAGTTTGAAAGCAGCCGCAGACCATGTGTAAACCAATGAGCGTGTTGTTTAGTAGGTTATTTACAGCAGGTGGTGGGCGAGATTTGGTTTTCGGGAGACAGTGTGTTAGCCCCTGGTCTTAACAAGGGTTCTCCACTTGGAGGCCCACCGAAGTCACCCTGGGAGGTTTCTTTTTTTTTTTTTTTTTAATTTTTTTTTCAACGTTTATTATTCATTTTTGGGACAGAGAGAGACAGAGCATGAACGGGGGAGGGGCAGAGAGAGAGGGAGACACAGAATGGGAAACAGGCTCCAGGCTCCGAGCCATCAGCCCAGAGCCTGACGCGGGGCTCGAACTCACGGACTGCGAGATCGTGACCTGGCTGAAGTCGGACGCTTAACCGACTGCGCCACCCAGGCGCCCCCACCCTGGGAGGTTTCAATCACCAGGCGACACTAACGCACAGCCAGGGCTGAGAACCACCTGTTGGGACCAGCAGAGGCTGCGTCGAGGGGGCCCGCCCGCACCTGCCACTGGAGCTGCATGCTGGAGGCCACGGGACCTGCTCACTTCTCAGACAGGGAGCTGGACTCACACAGGTCTGCCTGTCTCTCTGCTGTGCCGTGTGGCCATTCTGGAAAGAGCTGGTTTCCTTGCTCCCACACAGCCCTCTCTACCCGAGTCGTCCATGCAAGTAACAGATCTGCGGGCCCCCGTGAGGGGCTACGGCGTGGCAGCAGTCACGGCACGGGCTGATGGCCCTCCCATAGCCCCCCAGTGCTTCCCAGCAGGAAACACGTGAGGACGAGGGGATGCTTGGGGCACGACCGAGCCCTGCGCCCTGCGGCGAGGAGGGATCGCGGCCGACGGCAGCCCTTTTAGCAGGCAGCGTGGCCTTGTGCGGCTCACCTGGATCCCGTGGTCTAGCGGTTTCTATGTGGCAACGGGCACACAGCGGTAAGCATGACGGTAAGGACAAGCACACCGCCCCGCTGGCGAGTGCGGAGCCCGGAGCCTGGCACCTGACGCAGTGAGGACGCCAGACAGGTTCACCACCACTGCTCGCAAACCTGCTTAATCGTTCTTCCCCGGTACGCTTTGGAGTCCGAGAGAAGAGGATGCCGTCTCGCTCATTCCCCACTCGGAGGCCTCAGGGTCTAGCCAAGCGTTTGGTTAGCCGGGAAGGAAGGGAGAGAGGAGGCGCGCAGACGGCCCGAGGCTGAGATCAGCCCACGTGGGGAGCATCCAAGGTGCTGAGTGGAAAGGAGAGAACTTTCCACCGTGCGGAAAGGGGAGAAACAATGGCTAACGGCACCAGGTGACAATTACATTCGACCTGACCTGTGATGTCCTGGAGGAAATACGATGTGCTTTCTGAAGACAGGCTTTTTTTCTTTTTTAAACGGTAGTGTGAGAAATTACCCACAAATCCCAGTAAGGGCCTTGATGGGGAAGTGGGGGGTGCTGGGACCGAAGCAGTGCTCAGAAGGGCGGGCGGCGGGTGGGGGGAGGGGCAGCGAACCCCCCCCCCCCCCCCATGCGCTTCCCTCTGCGGGTGCTGGGCGTCTCTTCTGTGAGCTACTTGAGTCTGGACATGTCCCGATCGCCTGTGAGTCTTGATTTCCTCCTCTGGTCAATGGGCAGAAGAAGGTTACCTCTCGAGGCGGCTTCGGGATTAGCCGAAGGATTCCATGTAAAGCGCTGTGTAGAGTTCTTCCCGATACCGTTATTACGATGGTCGCCAGCGCCCTCATCCCCCGGGGCCTTTATGGCCTGTCCCTCTGTGACTTCACCTCATAGCCCCTGACGTGGAAGGATGGTATTTTAACATGCTCACCAATCCTCGCCCCTCAAAAGGAGCCACACACCCCTT